CCTTAAACCGCCTACATTTTGTGAACCGACTATATTATATACGTTAGTCAATTTTTAACGTACTTTTAGAGCTAATAAACAAAATATTTCACTTGATACCCACTTAATTTAAAACATCGTAAAAATGAATACGCGTTTTAAGATTATAGCTGATTTCCGATGAAATGCACCCACCGAAAATGTAATGTAACTGATTGCATTACAAAAATTACATGAATATTTTGACTATTTTTGAAACATTTAAAATAACCCACTTAGCTATTCTTAACTTTTCAAACCTACTAACCCCCATATATACAACGGTAGCAAATTTTTATACTCTTCGGCCACTGCCCCTAAAGACTATGGATCACCGATATAATGACGCCATCAATCGTCTCAGTGGATCCTATAAAGCAGAAAGGGTTTATCGTAGGTGATATTACACTACAGAGGTGTTAGCAGACAAGATAATGGAGGAAGATGATACATGACCGCGCAGCTTCCTATTTACATACAACGCCTGCCTTCGCATGTAGCCTGTAGCAGATGTTACCGTTGCACAATCTCTGGGGGTTTCATGATGTTCTATATTCAATGGAGTTGTGTTGTTGTGGTGTGTAAAAAACCAACTTAATGATTTTCTATTGTTTCATTTTTTGAAAATGTCTTGTACGTTGCGTCGAATCGAACACAATCTTTCTCAAGAATTATATTTATTTTCGTATCGCTATCTTAACAATAATTCACTAAAACGTTGAGGGTTCGTCATTTTCTTCACTTACGCACTAAGAATATGTAACACAGGTCAATTGGTTATAGAGTGGGACTTATATGTATATATAGTCAATGCTTATACCCAAGTTTATATTTCTCGTACCGACGACTTTTACCATAGAATTAAAAGAGTAATTAATTAGAGAGTTTAACCGGTTATTCTTATAATAATTGTCAAGTAAAAACGTTTCATATACAAGGTGAAATGTTTCTGTTTGTTAATTCGAAATCGGGTTCGATGAAATACATTCTAAAATAAATCTAACGATTTTATTTGATTAAAAACAAATGTAATACAGTCAAAGAGTGTGCAATGGCCTAGTGACAAAGTAAATAGTTGAATTATCAGCTCAGTAATATATATTTTTAATAAAACTGCTTATAGAAGCTTAAGCGTTTTACAATATGGGCCAGACACGACTTAAACACAAAATACCCCCGCCGCAGCAAACCTGCCGTCTAAGCGAATTTCCATTTGGCTGAATTGATTTTTAATTGATCTATTTAAATAACATTAGGTTTAACGAGTACCTAGGTTTGTTGCTACAAGGAAACTAATATACCCCCGCCGCAGCAAACCTGCCGTCTAAGCGAATTTCCATTTGGCCGAATTGATCTATTTAAATAACATTAGGTTTAACGAGTACCTAGGTTTGCTGCTACAAGGAAACTAATAAAGTAGTTTTTAGTAAGTTTTTGGTAAAATATTGATAGCTTACTATAAAATAAATAAATTTGCCAAGTTTGATCAAAATATATCCATAAACAAGCAAACTACATCATTTTACAATATTCTCCAAAAGAATAACATGGGAATTTTAAATTTACCACTTTTTTAGTTTTCTCCGTAACCAATAACCGTACAAAAACACTTTGATATACTGAATTGTTTGTTTTTTTAAGCTCTTTAAGAAGGTTTAGAGAAAAATTGGGAAATTTTGTGTTTTGAGGGTAAAAAGTGAGAATAACCAATTTTTACCCCATAAAACCCCCCATAAAACCCTGTTCCCATGGACCGATCATGCTGGATCGCGAACTCATTCAAGTTTATCCCGCCTTACACCTTCAAACCAAATTTCATCAAAATCGGATAAAAATTACTCAAGTTATCGTGTTCACGGACACATATATATATATATATAAATCTATATATATATATATAAAAATTTGAACGAATGGTGTTTTTGGCCTCTGGGGACATTAAAATGAAAAAGTAAATCGGTCCCGGGCCTAAGTCTTACCATGAGACCTACGGTAATAGCTACTTCCCTATAGGGAAATTCGCTAAAAGTGTGTGTTTTAAGTAAAATAATTATTGCATAGTATAAAATGAATACATTTGCCAAGTTTGATCAAAAGATATCCATAAACAAGCAAACTAAAACATTTTACAATATTCTCCATAAGAATAACATGGGAATTTTAAACTTACCATTTTTTTAGTTTTCTCCGTAACCAATAACCGTACAAAAACACTTTGATATACTGAATTGTTTGTTTTTTTAAGCTCTTTAAGAAGGTTTAGAGAAAAATTAGGAAATTTTGTGTTTTGAGGGTCAAAAGTGAGAAAAAATATATAAAAATTTGAACGAATGGTGTTTTTGGCATCTGGGGACATCAAAATGAAAAAATAAATCGGTCCCGGGCCTAAGTCTTACCATGAGACCTACGGTAATAGCTACTTCCCTATAGGGAAATTCGCTAAAAATAGAAGCTCGAGGGCCATAAAGAGGAAAGGAAATTGCTTCTTGACTGGGAAATGAGGGGCCTAATCCACGCGAAGACTGAGGACACTGTTGCAAAGACTTGGGATTTTAAAACTAAACTTTTTGTTTTATTTTTAGTTTCATGACAGGTCCCTACCTCTCGAGGTGAAAGTGGTTTTAACACCCAAGTAATCACAAGAGATCTCCAAACGTCCAGAAACATAAAGAAGGATTTTATAGCTTTAAGATCCTTGCTCGGTTCATATTTTACCTGGAAACAGCTTTCTCAAAAACTGGTTTATTTTAAAAGTAAGTCATAATAAAAGTGGAATTTAAAAAATCAGACTAATATGATAGGAATTTATACTGATAGCCTATCGGTTAGCAGAGACTCAATAAACGAGAAGGATAAATTTACGAACTTGTATTCGGTTGATTTGGTAACTTTTGAAATATACCTTCTAAATGGTTGCACCTCGAACACGATCTCTATACAAGGTGTCCCGAAACTCATTGATCCCACTAATTGAATTCCTTTCAAAATGGTGTGTTTGAAAAAACTAACTAAAATATCTTAATCCGGCTCAACATTTCAAAGATACGCTACCGTTTTAGCTACAACGTTGAAACTTGGCATAATTATCAAACAGCCCGAAAACCCTTTGATTTTATAATTTATTAAACTAACTTTTAAACACACAACCTCAAACTCACAAGCTCTGACTATTTTGTTAAACAAATAAATAAAAACAAAAAAATAAAAAAAACATTGAAGAATAATGTATGAGTTAACGTTGTTAAATATAGTTAATTCAAGTCCATTGCTAATATTTTGAAAACTTGATGGAGATGGGCGCAATCATTTGACAGTAATTTGACCGAACATTCTTTTGTTAAACTGTATATTTTCTTTGGTGCCAATTTGACTAACTTGTAAATCAGTAAAATAAAAAAATAAAATGGACCAATGCATATTTTCCGAGACCACCGGATGACGAAAAATATTTTTAAAAATCAATCATATCCAAGTTTTGTTAAAACTTGTGCACCTTTACTAAACGTAATTAATTAGTAGGCCTAATTACTCCGCCACACATGCATACAGAAAGTTACTACGAAGACAAAGTGTGCTAACATTTGGTTGTAATGAAGCATAAATAACATTAAAGTGAGCCTCGCGGCCATTTCACGACCGCGGGGATGTAATGAGCGCAGCGAGCAGACGATTTACCGAGTCATTCCTACGATGATAAGCAATACGCGTGTCTAGCAATGATAACACCACCCCAACATTAGCGAAACGCCACTTTGGGAGACAGCGCGAAATGCTCGCCGACGTCAAGGTAATCCTTCGCCTTTTCAACCCGAACCCGCCTCCCCCACACTGACGAGATTATTTGGGCTTAAAAGATGAAGAGTCATGGGCTCTTCCCTACCTCGGTCGTCTTAATGTTTACAAATGGGTTCGCAAATGTATATTCATCATGAAGAATCATCCGTGGACGGATTTCGTTCAAGTCTAATTGAACAAAGGCGATTGTGGAAAGTGAGAGTGAGTTAAACTGGTAAAGCATTGACAAAGAAATTTATCACGTCAAACTACAATAATATTTTAGGTTGATACTCGTTGCTCAATACGTTTGATTTTGTAACAGCAAAATATAATCAAAAGTAGGTAAGTTCAGAAGTACCCATATTCAATTATTTTATTTTAACTACAACGCTAAACATTAGAAGCTCTTTACCGGAAATCGGGAGAGATTATCTGAAGATTGTCAAAGGTACACAAAAGAAGACTTCTTCGAATTACTTCTTCGAACGAAACTTACTGATCAAAATTTCTACCACATTTTCTAACACAAGACTCAATTGGGTAATTAAGGTTTTTTAGTTGTTTCGGTTTATTGAAAGTATTATTACAGTTATTCGCTTACATCAAAGGGCTACGATCAGGAGCCGATAGCTGTTTCCCTCGTGTTACACTATATGCACATTGATCATCTTGAAAAATAAGAATGTAGATAACGTTGCCTATATATTGAAATCCGTACAAGGTGCATTATTACTCTTTCATGAGAAACACAGTACCAACGAACTTCTATTTTGCTGCGAGTCACGGAAATATATTGGGATCGATGGCAATTTTGGCAAACGCGTCGTCAGTTTTAGATTGTTGCCAGACGTTTTGTCGTCCCGTGTAGAGGCCCAATCAGTCCTCAGTGAAGAAGAATCTGAGCATGTATCTGCTAAGTACTTCATTATAAAATTAAATTCATTTCAACCGTAGTCCTTACAAAATATTTTTATAGTCGAATCTTTTTATAGGGTGAAACGTCTTGCTGCAAACTAAAATTGACGCGGTTAACGCCGTAATCACTATGAGAACGGCCAAGAATGCACAGACCTATGGCAAATGCCAAAGAACTATCATCATATCAAACATCCTAAAAAATTTCATTATTACTTCAAACTCGTACAGGCATTTTGGTATCATCTATGTCAACTTTGATCACTACACACTAGAGGAGTGCTTCCTACCTCAACTCCTGCAGCAAGGTGTCGCCCTGACTGATGGTAGTGACGGAGGCGTCCAGACAAGAGTCCCTCTGTCTAGCACACTCCTCTAGCTGCCGCTCGGCCGCCTCCAGAGTGTCTGGCGCTTCATCGCAGCCGTCCTGGCGCAGCTCCTCTAGCCAATGGTCGAGCTGCAACAGTCAATGAAGGAACATGAGATGGTGTAAAAGTGAAACTAAAGACATGGGTTGAGAAGAAAACCCAAGGATAAACACAGGCTTTGGCAGATCAAACATTCAATGAAAATAATGCAGTTGTCCTGGTGCAGCTCCTCTAGCCAATGGTCGAGCTGCAACAGTCAATGAAGGAACATGAGATGGTGTAAAAGTGAAACTAAAGACATGGGTTGAAAAGAAAATCGAAGGGGAAACATAGTCTTTAGTAGATCAAAACATTCAACAAGAATAATGCAGTTGTCCTGGCGCAGCTCCTCTAGGCAATGGTCGAGCTGCAACAGTCAATGAAGGAACATGAGATGGTGTAAAAGTGAAACTAAAGACATGGGTTGAGAAGAAAACCCAAGGATAAACACAGGCTTTGGCAGATCAAACATTCAATGAAAATAATGCAGTTGTCCTGGTGCAGCTCCTCTAGCCAATGGTCGAGCTGCAACAGTCAATGAAGGAACATGAGATGGTGTAAAAGTGAAACTAAAGACATGGGTTGAAAAGAAAATCAAAGGGGAAACATAGTCTTTAGTAGATCAAAACATTCAACAAGAATAATGCAGTTGTCCTGGCGCAGCTCCTCTAGGCAATGATCGAGCTGCAACAGTCAAGAGAGGAACATGAGATGGTGTAAAAGTGAAACATAAGACATGGGTTGAAAAGAAAATCGAAGGATACACACAGGCTTCGGTAGATCAAACATTCAACAAGAACAATGCAGTTGTCCAGGCGCTGGTTCTCTATCCAATGATCGAGCTGCAACAGGCAAGAGAGGAACATGAGATGGTGTAAGAGTGAAACTTAAGGTATCAATCGAAAAGAAAGTACAAGGGGAAACATAATCTAAGTTAGATCAAACATTCAACGAGAATGATGAAGCTGTCCTGGCGCAGCTCCCCTAGCCAACTTGGAGAACTTATATTCAGCTAAGTAAACATTAAAGTTCAAACAAACGAGAATGAGCTTATCTTAGAAGATCCATTAAGAATGAGTTCACCAGAACATTCAGCAACATCATTTCAGTAAGGTGATCTTCTTATAGTCCCCTTGTGAAAAGGAAGTGCGCCTTTCTTCTCATAAAATACCTTTCAAAGTATTATCAAGCAAAGACCAAGTAAACAGCGTTAACCTCATTTTGCATACGCCTATACATCTATTTACTCCACCCATATGTACGAAAACTAACAGTATACATTCACAGCCGGCGATTACTTTCACTACAACTTGAATGGAAGATATGTTTACTTAATTAATGAATGTAAACTGATCCAGGTCGGAGAAACCAATGACGATAGGGATGAAAGTGGTTTGGCCGCGAATTCTAGAGCAGTGTGGCCATAATAGTGTACATATGTTAATGAGGTGATCCTAGCATGCTAATAGAACAACCGGTTAAAATAGGCGGTGGTAACGGGCCTAGCGGAAAACTGAGAGTGAATTGGATCTAGGTGCGGTAGTGAAAATGCTTCTTCAGTATCCACACGGCTGAGTACCCAGTTATTAATATTTGCCTTAATATCTGAAGGTTGCTGATTCAATTCCTAGAGAAGTCGATTCTGTACTCGGATCCAACTTGTCCTTCTGCTATATTTTAATGATCTTATTCATCAATATGTTTGCTTACACAGTGACGAGAGCGTGTTTCGAACTATGTCTACTTAAAAAGTTGTTATTAATTTCAATGACATTAGCAAACATGAAACGGAAAAATAGGTTAACAAGGTTATCAATTCGATATCGGTTAAAAATTGAGACAAACATTGTCTTCTACTGGCATAAATATGCAATATTAAACACACAAACGGGATCGCTACGAGCACCGAATCGATAGCTGTTGCTAAGCGACTGTAGCGATAGCGATGTACAGTACGTATATCGGATACCGATACGGTGGTACCCGCCAAGCAATTATTTTATATTGACATAAAAACACAACAAATTATAAATTTTTACCAAGCATATCAAACCTTTTAATGTATGCTTTGCGTGGAGTATAACTGCTTCACATAGAATACAGATAGAGGGGAAGATACAAAAAACTTCTTTACTGACAGAAAAATACAACCGATACCGATATACACCAATCAAATTGAACGATTGGCTTTTATTCTGATCTCGAGTAGAACCACTTAAACCGTCGCTTGTTAGCTTAAACCGCTTCTTACTGGTGACTCTTAGATTAACGCTAATGTTCAGTGCTTTTACGTGCCGTCCCACCATATATTAACGATGAATAACGAATATAATACTGTAGTACAGCAAATTAAATTGTAAAAAGTAGACTATATTTTTTACAAACGAAACTCGTTACAATCATTGTTTGGTGAAAATAAAATTAGTGCAAAACAAGAAAACAGTTAAACAAGTTTAAGCCAAGCAAAACAAACAAGTATTATATGGGTCCTATAAGTGGGACGATAGCAACAATGTATACTAGGCTAACCTAATTCGCAGTATGACGTAACACAATAAAATAACATATGTTTTGCGTATTGGATGTAACAATTACTGTAACATTTACAATTTTTAGTAATTCATGTGTAGTGTTGAATGGTACATAATTGCATTTATTTTATTCATTACCGTTATTTTACGGTGGAACTTTGTGTTTAAAATAGCGATACATTCAAGTTCAATCCAAATCAATCACAAACAACATAAAATACAATATTAGTAACCTAAAAAGTAACAAATAAAATTCCTAATCATAACCTACATGTAAACCTAAATATTTCTTTGTACGAACAAAACCTGAACAAAATTCAGTCGTTCCACATCACTACTGATATTTCAACGATAACAGAACGTTGCTATAGTCACGGACACGAGGCACGTCTAGCCGCGAACCTCTTTGCATTTTGAACACACAACAATTATAATGCGCCCGCGGTCGCATACGTGGGTCATTCATAAACGGTCCCGTACTTTCCAAACGGCACGTACCGCCTTACCACCGTACCACTTACCAACGTCAAGTAGACCGGGGAACACACATGGAAATACCACATTACTTTGACAAAACCCCCGTTGCTGCAAACCTGCAGAAGCAAACATACCTGGTTGGATTTTCACTAATATTATTCCTAAACATTGCTAGATTTATTTTCCATATAAACAGGTAATTTTAGGTTTTCTGCAATAGGGAAGGTTATAAAGTGTTTTTTATTTTAAAATAATAGTTTAGTATGAAATATAATATTTGTTTTGGGGGGTCCAAAATGGGAAACGCCAATTTCACCCAATTGAACTCGGTCCCCAAAGTCCGATCATGCTGGTTCGCGAACACACTCAGACAAACGTAGATGATGAAATTGAACTAATGGTTTTATTAGCCACTGGGGACATAAAAACAAAAAAAACTGTCACGGGATATAGGTCTTACCATGGGATGTACTGTTAATTTTTGTCTTTGTATAGTAAATTCGCTAAAACCAATGGTAATACAGTAATTAATTTCAAAACGGAATTTCAGGGCTTAACACGAATAATACGGAAACGTATTTCACAGAAATGCAATCTCGACGAGAATATTACAATAAGTTAACTGAATGGAAACGACGCTTTACAATGGTACATACACGAACAAAGATCAAGCACAGATTTGCTCAAAGTAATATCTTACTACACAGCCTTTGTAAGAGGTATTCGTATTACAAAATCCAAATGAGAAATTCTTACAGGATTTTCCAGGAAGAGTATTATTTGACAACATTTTGATATTCAAGCAATGTTTCGATGGATTACTTATAGTCGATTTCTATATAAAGGGTTTATTAATAGAAGAAAAGGGGGCTGTTTTAATATTTTTTTGAGTCAACTAGCCTTTGTAAGAAATACACAATTACTACACGAGGAATTCTAATTGAGAGTTTCATGTAGTATTATTTTATAAAATATCTTGCATTTGGTGGAACATAAGTTCATCAAAAGGAGACGTCTGGGGGGGGGGGGACGATAGACTTCCGTCTTGAAGAAACGTGTTCAAATCCTAACAATCGCCGATTGCTTTAAGCTACGCAATAAGAGCGTCACTGGTTCGAATCCCACCTAACTCCGCAGATTATGTTTTAGTGGTAAACATAGTAAACTGTAATTTAACTCATCTAGAAAAGGAACAAGAATAGATCTCACATGCAAATTATAACATTTTGTTAACGGAGATCCTCCTAAATTATAATCATTTCGATAATAAGGGGAAAGAAGGTCAGGTAATTACTATATTGCTGTGGTTTATAGTGTGTGTATTTGTACTATATTTAATTTATATGTAGGTGAAGAGTATATTACACACAGTGAAATTTAAGGATGGACATTTCATTTTCTAGTTTTTTTTTTAGCCTGGAACTGTTTTTACACATTATTTCATTTTATACTTTAGAGGGTTGCGGGATTGTAATTGGCGGGATTTGAGCCCGGGACCTCTGAGGCCAAAACCCCGAGCTCTCCCACAAGCAGCTTACTTCTCTACGGGACACATACATTACGACAAACACGAATAACGTAATGTAAATATTCCAAATGTAGATGTAAGTAATGGAGGAGGCAACATGGGCCATTAGGCGCGTGTACTCATTGTGAGACATTCTCATAACAGCCCTTATGTGAATGTAGAACACCCCTAGGTTGATGTAGGGTTCTCGGCTAAATAATAGATGACTTAACTGTATACTGTAGACTGTACAATGGCGAACTTGGACGAATAGCATTGCAGTGAAAAGAGTTGAGATTTTATTCTCATCGTGGAATTATCTTCATCAAACGCTCTCTTTATCTTATGATAATCATTTTGTTGATTCACAAATATTGGTGTAAATTGCGAAGAAACTTTGGTAACAAAACGTACACTACTATGATTTTTTTCTTAATGTTTCAACTATTTCAAAATAAGTATAAAATATTAAAAAATCTAATTTTTTGTTGGTAACGTAAAAATGTATTACACCAGCCATAAATTTGTTCTTAAT